AATATCTCCTTAACGAAGCTCCATCCGACATTTTTGCAAAGGAAATTGTTGTTCAGAATCGTCTCAGCTACCCCCCATTTCCGGCTCCTCCCCGACCTTTGGGACACCCTGCATGTCATATGTGTATATATTATCATATATGTATATATACATCGTAGTCTGTGCTCACTTGCGTCGCGAGTGGTAGAAATATTCATAACTTAAAGCTGGGGATTTTGATAACACTTCTACGCTACACAGTTGGAATCCTTATACAGTCTTCATGGTTAGTTCTTATTGCTTTCTTATTGCGCATAGTCTATATGGCTGGCGCTGCAATCGAAGGAAGTCATTCGTTCGATTGCCTTGACCATTCATTTCGTTTCCGGCTGTAGATGGTTGTAGAAGGTGGTTAAAGATGTGCGGAACGAGCAGTTGGCACGTGGTTGAAAAAGGTAACTTTTATTAATATTGTTACGCATCGCAAATCAGCACAGGCACTGTACAGTTTAAATAAATAAAAAAAAAAAATTAAAATCAAGTTTTTAAATCACGAAAATTAAATAAACAAAACAAGATTGAATACAAATATGAAAACTAGACAGGTTACAAACGATCCATCAAATATGCGTAAAAATAAGGAATTAGTTAACATGAAGCCGATTAAGATCATTAAGAAAAAAACGGTAAAAATGAATAAGTCAGAATTTCATCGACTCCGAAAGAAAAATACTAGTGACTCCGAAAAAGCGAATGTTAAAAAATCTAAGGATCACGTGCACAATAATAAAAAACTGGAATCACAAAATGAAGAGAATAATAAAGAGGAGAATAATATAGTGCCAAAATATGGATTAAAAAGGAAACGTTCTAGAAACAATGGCATGCAAGATAATAAAGATATAACTGTTGATCTGCGATTATCGAAACTGCAGAAACGTAGGAAAGTAGATATCACCGAAGAAAATACAGATACCTTAAATTTAAACGATCTATCAAGAGAACATATATTGCAATGCATTAGAGCTATTTTCCATCTAACTGAAGAACAATTAGAAAGTAAAAATGCACTATTCGAAGGAGAGTCTCATCCAGTATTTATGCAGGTGACATGCATAAGAGTACCTAAAACACCAAGGAGACAAATGAGAATGTAAGCATAAATCTTTAATTATATTCATTTTGTGAAGTATTAAGATTTGTTTGTTTAGCTTTTAATTATGTAAGACTCTAAATATGAGAAAGTAAACATTAATAGATGAATTCTATTTAGATAATTCGAAATTCTTTATAATTATTTATAATAACAATGACAATGCTTTGAAATATGTGGAAAAGATATATACTACTAAATAGTCTTAAGTACAAAGTAATTGTTACTTTTAGTTATCAAGAGATAATTATTAAAAATCTTGAGTTATAATATGAACTAATACCCTGTGTAATGAATGTAGGTTGTCATTCATGCAAGCATTGGGTACCCCTTTGCTGGTATTTCGATTAAAAATACAGAGGTAAATTACCTGAAATTACAATTTATTTTAAATTTAGCATTATTTATTTATTATTATTGAATTATAAACAAAACTAGACTGTTACGAGCAGAAAGGTTAGTTTGGTTTACTTCTGTTTTTATGACAATTGAATATTTTTAATATTTTTGTCTTGAAAAATAAAACTGAATGATAAATATTTTTTTGCTCTAAAGCATTTGGTAATATACTCTCTCTGACATACAAAGTCATTGAAATGATGAAATTAGTGATATTATAAATAATTATTAAATCATTTTATTATTAATTATATGATGCCTTGCATTTTATAAACTATTAGAAATAATATTTTCCAATAAAAAGTAGTATTTATTTAACTTTATATTCCTATTTATGTGCAAGTTACAAATGATTATACTTTTATAAATACCAATGGATCCTTATGAGGAATCGTGATTATATTTAAAAAAATGATACATCTTTAATTTCATAATGAATAACTCTGAACTGATAACATATATTTACCACCGTCAACTTCTTTTCCAGATTATTACAGCATTCAATAGTTTCATCGAATGATGAAGTTGCACTTTTTGTTGGTGACTTACAAAGAGGCAGAAGAAAAGATTACGAGCCAACAATAGAACATTATGAAGAGTTGTTACGCAAACATGGATGTACAAGTATAAAAGCTGTACTACCATTGAATCAAGTGAAAACTGAGTATGATCAGTATGAATTAAAAAGAAAACTTGTGGCTAGCTATGATCATTTCCTTGTAGATGGAAAAATAGCTGGCCACTTGTCTCATTTATTGGGAAAACAGTTCTATAAAAAAAGAAAATTGCCAACGTCTATTAGGATGCAAAGTAAAGACTTAAAGCATGAAATAGAATATGCTTTGAAAAAAACCACTATGCAGTTGCATTCTTATGGCGATACTCATATTGTTCAAATTGGACATACATCCATGACAAACGAAGAACTTCTGGAAAATGTGTTAACGACATGTAAATATTTATCTAAAAATTATCCAGGTGGATGGGCCAATATCCGCTCTATTCGTATTAAAACACCTAGTAGTCTCGCTCTTCCTATTTATACAACGCTAAGTCAGTTTTATTTTTTACTTATTTTAAATCTTAATAAAAATTAAGTTTTTGTGTGCTTATTTGTTAATGTATTTATTTATTTTCAGAGAGTAAAAACTCTGTTAAAACACCAATGGTGCACCCTAAAAGACCAAAAGCATATCATGCAGTGACAGGTGAATTAAGTACTATTTCTGGTAATACCATGGTAACTGTTACTCCTGAAGGATTTGTTAACATTGAAAAAAAAAGAATTAGAATTAGAAGACAGAAAATGGAATAAAGATGGAATTGTAACATTTTTTTGTATTACTTTATTAAATCTAGTAAACAAAGTTAAAAAATTTGTCTACTTATTATTATTAAGTTTACTTAAACATTTTATTATAATAATTACAAATTTATAATTATTGCATTCGAAATATGTACCTACTTTTATATATTTTATTCTTATTAAACGTTCCCTTAATTTTTATATGTATGAAAAAAAATAATCTCTACCACTAATAGTTAATATAAAATAGTCTGATCTTTCTTGGAAATACTTTGATATCCATTTGCTGGTGTCGTTGAAATATTATTCGAAATATCATTTGTATTTTGTATGTAATTGCATGTATTAACAGTATTTGTAACAACTTCAATCTCTTGGAAGTTCCGAAGTCGTTGAATATCTTCATCTTTTCTTAATTTAGTATTGGGCAACTTTCTTAGTTTAACAATTTGATTTGGATCGATATTTAGTTCCTGACAGCATACTCTAATTAATGCTTGGTATGTTAAGTTGCTTTGAGGTAATTCAATTTCTATGAAGTCTGGATCAGGAGCATCTGCTACACGAATCTTTAATACTAATTCTGAAAATAAAATTAGTTGATGTAATATTTTAAATTACTTTATAACCTTGATTTATTGATGTTTTTATGTGAAAACAGGTTAGAATGAATTTCTTACCATCTGGATATAAACCATTGCTTCTTACTTTAGAAATACTTGATTCTATAGTTCCATGTACAAAATCATGTTTTAAATAGTTGGGTATAGTATTTTGTGCTGTTGAGTCATTTAAACTCAGCTGATCCATGGATGCACCCAAAAGTTGTACAATTTCGGGATTAGTACACAAAGATGCTGGAGTTTCTCCATTTATAGATATTATATTTTTATCTGCACCATTCTTTAAAAGTAAAACAACTACGTCACAATAACCCGCCTCACACGCCAAATGCAAAGAAGTCCTAAGATCAGGAAACATCAATTATGGTACTAATTCAACATTTTTTACATATCTATACGAATTTATTACATACACATATGGAAAGAAATTCTGTATTTATGTTACTAAATTTCGTATTGTACTCTTTATAATTAGTAGTAATAACAGAGATACAGAACGTAATACACAATGTAATAAATTATTAGAATAATACCATCCGTCAACAGGATCTCTTGCATTAACATCAACACCTAATTTAAGTAATTTTTGAACCACATCTGTGTTACCGACAAAGGCTGCTTTTCTTAGATAGTCTTCCAACATTCTTTTACTTTCCGTATTTTCGAGAGTCGAAAGAAAGTCTATGAGTTTCACGTGTTTTTCCATCTTGTGTTTATTTTGAACATTTTAAAAGAACATCATTCGATGACAAACTCGGTAACTATTTACACACGATGCTATAGTTTATAGGAGGTATGTAGTAAATGATGTGTATATGCACTTATACAAAGGTTATGTGTAACATACATACATACAGGGTGTCCCAAAAGTCGGGGAGGAGCCGGAAATGGGGGGTAGTTGAGACGATTCTGAACAACAATTTCCTTTGCAAAAATGTCGGATGGGGCTTCGTTAAGGAGATATTAAGAGAAAACCCCGACCAATCAGAGCGCGCGTAGACCGTTCGAGCGGCCGCGGTAGCGAAGGCTACGCGCTAGGCGGCAGCGTTAATGTCCTTCAATGCACGTCGAGTCACTTGTTCGCGTACAAGCGCGGCCGCTCGAACGGTCTACGCGCGCTCTGATTGGTCGGGGTTTT